GTCGAACGACCCTTTCACAGGGGTCACCTAAGACCATCGGAAAACACATACATAATTACATATTGTTTTTGTGATTTATCACTATGCTTTAATTATGTTCAATTTGTAACAATGAAATTGGGGGGTCACCACAACATGAGGAACTGTATTAAAGGGTCGCGGCATTAGGAAGGTTGAGAACCACTGGAATAGAGCTTCTCCCACTTTCTACCCACACTCCACTGCCCAAATGAAAGACAAATAAACTTCTATTTTCTTTGAGCCATTATACATTTTGGAGTTTGTTTCAATAGTTAACTGATCTTACATAACAGACCACCCAATAATGGGAGTTTGATGAATAAAAATGTTTGATGAATGAAAAATACATGTGTTTGAGTTTCAAAAGTAGAACTTTAAATCTAAGGTGTCCTTCTAGAAAGGATAACTGAAAACTAGGGCAAGTCAGCAATCATAGAATAGAATTTTTGCTTTTAGTAGCCTTTAAAATTGAGATTGATTTGCACATCATCCTTACTTGAAGCAGAAAGCTAATACAAATTACTTCTTCAGTTCCCTTCCAGGCCTGAGAATCTGCTGTCAAGCAGAAAATCAAAATACATGTGGGATGTTTTAAGTGTTTTTTTAAAAAAGTCAATGCTCTTATTTATAATTTATTATTCTAGTTTATAATACAGCATAAAATGAAATAACTAATCAAAGAGACCAGAGGACTCAAGTCCATATCACTAATTTCATCTTATCCTGTTCTCCCTGCCCCTGTCCTCTTCCACTCCAATCCTGACCAATCTTTCTGAAATACAGACTTGGTTCCATCACTTCCTTCCTCCAAATTCCCTGCTGGCTTCTTATTTCTCTAAAGAATCAAGTGCAACTCCTCAACATGACATGAAAGCTCTCCAAGATTTGTCCCCAAAAGCCTTTATCTGCTGTATCTCCCATCTGGTGAACTGCCCCCTGCTCTAAGCCTCTAGCTCCAGCTCTTTGCACAAGGACTATAAATACCACCCCCACACTTCTGCACCTTCAATGCTCAGTTGGCTTCAAGTACCACTCCCCAGTTGCAACCCATTCTCCACCTACTTAGAAGCCTTCTCTTCCTAAAAGGTCTTTTTCAAGTGTTATCTAACCCCTTAAAGTTTTCCACATTCACACAATCAGAATGTATTGCTCATTCTTATAATTCTATTTTTAAATCCCTGAAATTCTTACTTATTTGGAGTTAATCTTCAGTCCAATGTGCGTGAACAAAGAACAAAATATATATTATATCCTTCACATTAAATATACCACAGAGCTATTTCTCTTCCTCACTGAAATCTATATTATTCAAATATTAGCATATGACATCAGAAAATGTCCTAGGTCTGAAATCTTCCATTTTATCAGATCATAACCTTTACAAGAATGGTGCTATATAAAAGGCATGCGCTGTTTATTAACACTCACCCGTTAGCAGGATCAACAGTTATGCCAACTGGAAAACCAACTCCAAGAGCTGTCCCATCATTGGTAATCAATGTTTTTCTGTATCTGACATCTCCCCGGAGTGTCAAAACCTATAGCATAGAGCCACTTGTTAGAACTGGATTTCATAAGGGGAAAAAAAGAAAGCTGAGATGAAGGAGAACTTAAGACACAACGAATTCCAAAGCATGATTAGGGACAAATGGAGGTTATGGAGGAGGTTCAGTAATTCCTAATTGCATTTCTGGGCTCAAAGAAAATCCTCGCAATAGAAAATGAGAGCAAGAAAAGAAAAATCACCTCTCAAATTCCTATTTTCAATTCACCTAAATTTCAGGAAGGGAAATGTATATAAAGAAAAGACAGACTCAAATGGGGGGGAAAGAAAGAAACTACAAAAACTGCCTTTAGAAAAAGGAAATTCTGAAAGACAAATGGGAATCCCACAGCTCTCATGCATCCCAGTAACCAGACCAGAGCACCCAGTAGCCCATCACCACAAACACAGTGTGAATTCACGCAGACTTAAAGTGAATTCTGTTCCAAGTTAACAGTCTGAGTTAAAATACAGGAGTTCAAATCCCTGCCCTGCCAGCTCTGACTGTATGACCTGAGACAAGTAAATTTATCTAAACTTAGTTTCTTTGTCATTTCAATGTGGATGACAATGGCACCTTGTACATAGAGCTCACAGGACAATGAGGTAACACACACGTGGTAACTGGCACAAGTGTGTTTAATAAATGTTTCCTGTTTTCATATTGGTCCACTTAATGGGCTAATCCTATGAGGTAGATAACATTATGCCCATATTATAGAAAAAGAGGCCTAAAAGATTTAGTGTCTTTCCCAATGCTATCTATTTTTAATTATTATTGCTATTATGTAATAATCACAATGCTAAAGAACTCTGACATCACAGAGAAATATGGATTGCTGGACTAGAAGCAGTTTTTCTAGAAGCAAGGCTATTTTAATATGCACCTGAGATGGTCTGAGGGGAGAAACAAGTAGTAAATTAGAAAATGTCTGTTGATTTGCATGAAGGTGTTCCTATAAAATTGTTTTTCAGTGCAAATAATTATTTGTGTATCTGTGTTTATGTTTTTCTCTCTGTTGCTACATGTATTTCTCTCTCTCTTTCTCCCCCCACCCCACCCCCATACACACACACACACACACTTCTCTCTCTCTTTCACAGTTCTCTCTAAAATTTTCTCTTCTCTGATAACTTTCTTTTTCTCCTACTTGGACTAAGATAATTTTTCTCTTTTCAATTTGCCTCTTTCTACTATAATTTCTCTCCTTTTCCTAGGCCTACAGATCTCTTTATTTCAAAGGGAATTTCCTTCCTTGTTTTTTGGAATATGTCAAGCCATTCTGTCAGCTTCACTTTCCAGCTAAAAAATTGCTGTTAGTGAATGGGCTCACAGCTACCCCTAGTGGAAAACAGTTTCTCAAATGTTTCTCTTTTATCCTGAAATGAGAATTGAACCTGAATTACTCTTGTGCTGGAACGGATATTGTACAGGTAAACAATGAACACTATTCTTGTTTTCTTAAGCAAGCTAACTTTCTCCTGGAAGAGTCACAGTAGATATCACCAAAGGATAAAAACAATAAAAAGACTAGAAAGGCAATTTACCTTTGAATCATTATTGTCAGGGGTCTTTATGGATATTCTAAATATATTTGTGACTTGAGGGAATTAGGGCACTGGCTTCATAGGCCACCTTATTGTCATGAAGTACATTTCCTTATTGAGCTACTGACCCCATTTTACAGGTAAGGAAAGAGAGGCTCAGAGAAGATAAGTAATTTTCCCAAAGTCAAACAGCCTGTGAGGAAACACACTGCTCTCCCCAGTCACAAAATGCATCTTCATATCTCAGGGTTTTGAATAGAGTGTTTTTCTCTATCTTGGCTGCCTCTTCCCTACTTCTTCATTTGACAGAAATAAATATTGGTCATCCTTTAAGACTCAACAATAACCTCTGCCCCCAACCACACAACACTTTATATTCACTGCTGGTACCATACAGTACTTATCACACTGCAGCAAAAGTACTTATGTGTCTGGCACTCAGATGTGTAAATTATTCAAAAGCAGGAAAAAAATGTTTTGTTTATCTTTGAATGTCCAGAACTAACTATGGGACTGATCCATAGACATCATTTACTTGTGTTTGCTGAATGAATGGGCAAGCAAGCCAGACTCAAAGCAAGGCCTTTGGATTCCAGAGCAAATGATCTTTTCTCAGTACCTCACTGCATTGGGGAACAATTACAAACTTCAGGTTTATATGGATAAAGCAGCCTTACCCATACGGATGTCAACTGGTACCTCTCATCCTACCTAACACTGATAGAGAAGACACATTTCCTGCTAAACTCTCAGTCTAAAAGGGAAGGCCCCCATTAACAAGGCAAGAGACCAAGAGATAGAACAAGAGCAGATTGTCATTTGGAATTCAGACAGCTTTGCACTGAGTGGAGTCTAGAGAGATGTAAGTTCCATATTAAGGTTCTTGGGCTGTAAATTTTGCCCATGTTTTGATGGCAGGTGATATTTTCAGTTGACATTATGAACAAATATCTTCTGTCACTGACAAAGGGAGTTAAAATGGGGCCAATTGCTGGAGTTGTGATTTGTAACAGGGCAAAGTTAGAACACTTCTGAGTTAAGCCAAATTCTTAACGTCTATGGACTCAGATTGTTATTTTTAAAACAAAGGGCTTGCCCTTGCTGGTTTGGCACAGTGGATAGAGTGTCAGCCTGTGGCCTGAAGGGTTCTGGGTTCGATTCCAGTCAAGGGCACATGCCCTGGTGGTGAGCTCAATCCCCAGTAGGGGGTGTGCAGGAGGCAGCCAATCAATGATTCTCTCTCATCACTGATGTTTCTCTCTCTCTCCCTTCCTTTCTGAAATCAATAAAAATATATTTGTGGGGGAAAAACAAACAATGAAGGGCTTGAAACAGATGAGCCTCCAAGTTGCCCCTCATGTTAAGAGTTGATGATTCTACCCCGTTTAATTCTGGGGGATTAATGTTTGTGCATATTACAAATGTCCCACTCAATGTAAATGGTTACTACACTTGCCTGCGCTTGGGAATGTAGTGAAGATTAAATGAGATGATGTTTGTGGAAGCCCTTTGTAAATTGTAAAGCACTGGCTGACGTGAGCTCTTCCTGTCTGCTGGAAATTAGCCACTTGGTTGCTGTATGCCTTCCTCATCTGTAGTATTTCTCTTTCTGAATGTTCCAAAGAGAACATTCTTACTAGCTGGTGCCTAATCCAGCGCAGTGACTGTCACTTTACTCAGCCCTGCTAATTGGCCCTCTCACAAGGACCTCCCTTTGCTTTAGGAATTTTCACTTTCAAAATTATTATAAATTAATAACCCCGACCCCGACCCCACCCCCCCACACACACACACACGTTTCAACTTTGTCCCAGAGTGGAGAAAATCAATGCTAGTCAAGTTACTTCTGATCTACTTCATGTGATTTCATACCTACACCCCATCTAGAATTTCTTCTGGGAACTAGAGTAAAAAAGAACAGTTATCGCAGAGAGGAGAGTATCAAAGAAATCAGAATCAAGTTCCTACTTTCTGTTTCACTGTTAGAAAAACTATATTGGAGCCATAGAAAGATTTTCATCTTAGAACAGAGGTAACCTATAAATTAGGCTTACTACTAAAATAGCATTGAAGATTTGATGAGAAGAGATAGTGAAAATTCCCGGCTATTATAATCTTTCTTTTATGCTGAATTCTTACATCATTTTTACTTACTGTTTTTACAAAAATATCTCAAATCCTCCTAACAGGAACAAATTAGCATTGATATTTAGGAGGAAACAAAATAGGTCAGTAAAAAGTTTCAAAAACTTATTTTTAAGTTGGTTTTCTTCCTTAGCTTTGATACAAATATTTATTCGCTTTTGTTTCTGCTTAAAAATAATTTCAAAATTCCATGAAAGTATTTCCTGAGAATAGATTTTACATGAATCAGAAACACTCTTGTGTACAGAGTATTATGGAATCATTACCTCAATTGACTGAGTTCCAGGATTGGTGTAATAAAGGTTTCTTGATATCCAGTCTAAGGCCAGGCTCATAGAAGCGCCCAAACTAGACAGAGGAACAAACACAGTCCTGTTGGTGCCATCTGTCTTCACTCTGTGAATTTCACCCTAGAAAGAAAGACATGGAGAAGTGAGCTGTTTCAAGGCCACATCTTCTCCATGAAAACACTTCCTTCACTGCGGCTACTGCCAGCTGCTATGTCTCTTTAAACTCCTCAGACTTGCAGAAGAGGCCAAGGTTCAGCACCATTGGATGGCCTCACTGTGTACAATGCTAATGCCGCCACACTTTGAAAACACTGATTTTTAAGTGTGTCACGGGAATACACAAGGCTCACCATTCAGACTATCTCTGATACTGGCTACCGAGATTTATTTGTTAATTACCACGGGCCAGAGTCATAAAAATAAACCAAATCACAGGTGAGAATCAGGAGGCAGAAATATGTTTTGCATAGTGGGGAGAATAGCAAACACATAATCTTCTCTCTCTCTCCTCATTTGTATTCTCTTTGCCCCTTCCCCACCCTAAAGGGTGAGGAGGGGGCACAATGGGAAAGCGACTGGAGAAGTTTTCTTTTTATCCTCGAGGCAAAGATTTGAATGAAGGCTCCAGCAGTCACAACAAATGCTTTCCTGGAATCCCTAGGGAGCTCCTGCTTTTTGTCTTGAGTTGTGATCATTGTTGTTAGTCTAATATCTTCTACAAGCTTAAAGCTCCTTAAGAACAATCTTTGTGACTGCTGCTTCTAGGCATGTATTCTGCAATTGGAACCAGCTAGTTCAGTGCAGGGCAAACAGTAAGCACTTAATAAGTACTTGCTGCATGAATAAAAAATGCCCAATAGCTTAAGTGTGTTTATTATTCTAAAGCTAAAGTGTTTTCTGATCTTTGCTCCAGGACAACTTCCCATTTATATCCCTCACTGAATCAAAAAAATAATTTAGTGGTAATTTAGTGTTACTGGATCATTGACCTTTTATCCACCCAGCAAACGTTTGCCTATAAGGAGGTATCAGTGCAGGCTCTGTGAGAACAAGTTACAGATTTTGAATGGTATTCAAAACTTACTGGATTCTCAACCCAATAGATGAATTCCTCTGTATCATCAAATTCAACATCATAACCGTTCTGTATCCCTGATATAGGAACCATAGCATCATTGCTCTTCACCTCAGGATTAAGGGAGATTCCAAAAATTACACTGCGTCTTACAGTTATTAAGAAAGGTTGATCATCTGTGAAAATAGCAGAGTATCAGTCAAAATTATATCCCACTCTTCCCAGACACTTAGAGTAATGAAAGGCAGTGGATTGTTACCATTTTATGAAATAAAATATAATTGCAGCATTGCAGCAATAAATATAATGCACAATATATATTATATCCCAAACGGCAGTGACTATGTCTGATTTACTCACTATTATGTCCCCAGAGCCTGGTATATAATAATTGCCTAATAAATATTTGTAACTAAATGAATGATCACATAAATAAATAAATGTGTGGGTGCATAGGTGAATACATAAACAGTATCTCTCAAAAAGTATCTGTACATTGAAACTTAAACATCCTCATAATATTTTACTCAAACTATCAGTTCACTTAGTCTCCTTAATACAATGAAGTACTTTTTCAAAGATAATCTTATCCTAGCTATAGTCCCCTTATTGAAAAAAAGAAAATCTAAATGAATGAAATTTAAGAGTGGGTTTTGTTTTATCACTAGAGGCTCAAAGCACAAAATTCATGCACTGGCGGGGGGCGAAGAGGGGGGAGCGGGACGGGGGGTGTCCCTCAGCCCAGCCTGCCCCCTCTCACAGTCCAGGAGCCCTCAGGGGATGTCCTACTAACTGACGGCTTAGGCATGCTCCCTGTGAGCCTAAGCCACGTCTGGCCTCCCTCTGCAGGCTGATCAGGGGAAGGCACCACTCCCATCACCCTGCTGCTCCTGCCACTGCCAGCTGCCAAGGTGTTTTCATCAACATGGACTCCAGTCCCTTCACCACGAAAAAATGACAACTTTCTTTAGGCATTTTCAAGATGTGTCTTTCATAGGATATGACCTTTCTTTCTTTCTTTCTTTTTTATCCTCACCTGAGGATATGTTTCCACTGATTTTTAGAGAGCTTGGAAGAAAGAGGGAAAGACAGAGAGAAACATCAGTGTGAGAGGGACACTTCAATTGGTTGCCTCCTGCATGAGCCCTGACCTGGGCCCCGGCCAGGGAGGAGCCTGCAACCTAGGTACATGCCCTTGACCAGGAATCTAACCCAAGGTCAGTTGGTTTGCAGGCTGACACTCTAACCACTGAGCTTGCTGGCCAGGGCCATCTGCTTTTTCCCTTAACCTTATCACATAAGCATTTCCAAAGATATGCCAGACACAGAGTAAATACTATTGTAAAGGCTATTGAATATGTAGGTCAAGTAAAATGTTTTCATCTACAATTGTTAACAAGTTCTCTAAGCTTCTTGTTGAAAAAATGTGTAACTTTCAACACACATTGACACTTTGTTATCCAACTGGTACAGAGAAACCATTTGGGAAACTGAAAAATTTCCACCTCACTAAACTCAGCCCATGGAATTTTTGTGAAACAACCAAAGGTACTATGTAGAGTTGACATTTATCAATCACCATCATATAGTAATACTGATTACACCAATCCCCAATGCACAGTTCAAGAATCTGTGGTGAAAGAATGCTTTGTATCCAAAATGTCTATAGCCCAGTTTAATCTTCTGCTGAAAGACAATGAGGACACACTAAATTAAACAATGTCAGCAAAGATTAGCTTCATAATAAGTCTGAAGAAAAATTGCAAATGCCAATCCCTTTGTAAGCATTACCAATAATTAAAATCTTTCATCAGGAAAGTATCATTGTAAAATATTACATGGAATAAGCCTACATCTGCATAATCTGTAAACACCATAAATTTCCTAGACTCAGCATGTATTTTCCATTTGAAAACTAAATCTACCTCTAGATTAGGACTCTAGTTTCTCTTACTTTAGGAATTTTTTATCATTAAACATTCAGTTTGAACTTATGTACAGCCATTTTTATGAGTAGCAAAACACATTCACTCCTCTTCACTGAGAAATGAAAGAAACTTGAATTTATAACTCTTTAGATTTTTAAGCAAAGGCGAATGATTTTTTAAAATAATTTATTATAACCCTAGCCTAGCTGGTTTGGCTCAGTGGACAGAGTGTTGGCCTGCGAACTGAAGGGTCCTGGATTCCGTTCCAGTCAAGTGCACGTGCCCAGTTTGTGGGCTCCATCCCCAGTAGGGGGCGTACAGAAGGCAGCCAATCAATGATTCTTATCATTGATGTTTCTATTTCTCTCTCCTTCTCCTTGCCTCTCTGAAATCAATAAAAATGTATCTTTTAAATAGATCAAGTGAAAATTCCAGAAGAAATCTCTTTTGTAGATTGACTACATCTTTTCCTTTCTTTCTTACTCCCTAAAGTACTTAATATAACCCTTCACATATTCTTCAATCAACCCAGTAAAATATCTAGGATTAGATAAAGATTAAATTGCTCAAATAATCACTTAAAATATTTCATACAGTGGATGCATATTTTTAGAGTTTCAGATAATAATAGTAAAGGTATTGAAACTGGAGTGGGAAGACCTAAGCTACAACACTCATGATTGGCTATTGGCTATGAGAATAAAAATGAGATCAAGATCCTGAAAAATGAAGCCATACAGTAATGTCAAGACAAGTACCATATAATTTCACTCATAGGTAGAATTAATGAACTAAACAAGCAAAACAGAGACTGACATATAGATAGAGAGCAGGCTGACAGCTGTTGGGGATAGGGGTTGGGGGTTGTGTGGAGGAGTGAGGGGATTGAGAAAAAAAGAGAAAACTCATGGACATAGACAGTGGCAAAGTAATAGCTGGGGAGATGGACAATGGAGGGGGCACAGGGAGGATAAATAGGTATGGACACAGACTTGACTTGGGGTGGTGAACACACAATACAATATACAGATGATGTGTTGTGGAATTGTGCACCGGAAACCTGCATAATTTTGTTAACCAGTGTTACCGCAATTAATTCAATAAAAAAAGAAGAAAAAGACAAGACATTTTTTTAAAAAAAGAAGAATTTTGACTTAAGTGCAGAATTTGGAACTTTCAATTACCATAGCTTGTCTAACTGTAACCAGGTAAGAGAAAATGTGAGGCTAGGACTGTTGAATCACATGCACACATAATATTAGCTTTATATTCAGAAACTATAACAACTGAGTACTCAATTAAGTCGCCCCATACACATACACTCCCCAGATACTGCTGAATCAAAGGGAATGCAGCACACACTCCATCAGCAAGTGGTTTACAGCTTACACTGAATTGCACAGACGACGGCAAGGCCACCGTCCGGGCACACTTAAAGGGCATACTGTACCTCTCAGGCAAGTCACAGAATCATGAGAGAGACTCCATCCAGAGGGACAAGCACAGGAGTAAAGCTGTGGCCTCTTTGAGGAAAGCAGACATAGGTGGCTGCAGGGGGCAGAGGCACAGGAATTTACATCTGCAATAGAAAGAGAAGTAACCATTGCTGAATGGAAAAATCCCACATAGAAGTGTACAGAATGAATGGGCAAAGAAAATGTGACATATTTATATATACACATACACAGTGGAATATCATTCAGCCATAAAGAAAGGAAATCCTGCCATTTGCAACAACATGAATGGACCTTGATGGCATTATGCTAAGTGAAATATGATATATATCAGAAAAGATATACACTATATAATCTCACTTACATGTAAAATAAAAATGAACTCAGAGAAAACAGATCGGTGGTTTCCAGAATCAGAGGGTGGGGGTGAGTGAAATGGTGAAGGTGGTCAAAAGTATTAGCTTCCAGTGATAAGGCACATTAATTTTGAGGATGTAATACACGGCACGATGACTATAGTTAACAATACTGTACTGCATATTTGAACATGCTGAGAGTAGATCTTAAAAGTTTCATCACAAAAATGTTTTTGTAACTGTGTGTGCTGATGGATGTTCACTAACTTATTGTCATAATCATTTCACAAGATATACATATTTCAAATCTTGTTGTACAGCTAAAACTATTATATGTCAAATTATATCTCAATTTAAAGAAGTACATTTTTATTTTTATTTTTTGTTTTTGTTTTTTTTTATTGCTTAAAGTATTACAAAGGGTATTACATATGTGTCCTTTTTTTTCCCCACCCTTGACAATCCCCTGGCCTCCCCTACCCCCCAGTGTCTTATGTCTATTGGTTATGCTTATATGCATGCATACAAGTCCTTCGGTTTATTTTCAAACGTGCTCTGTCACACCATTATTGTCCCCCAGAGGCCCCTAGTATTTGAAGACACAAGTACACGAAGTTACCTCTGTAAGTCTGGGTATTTTCCTTGACTCCTTTGGCCTTCCCTAACACCCAGCTTTCATCATAAAACTCATAAGAGGCAAAGACGGAGGAGTGACTTGCCCAAGGTTACAGATCAATCCTGTCAATACCGGATTATGAACTAATAGCCACTGAGTAATCCTGAGCTTAGTATGGAAATATGATGCTAAGTATTATTGTCTCCTGGCCTGACCTAAAAGAGACCTTTTCACATTAAATGAAATCAAGGTGTGTGTCCCTATGTGACCTTTACAATTACGCACTGTTGACCAAATTTGATTACATAACAATCTTTTATTTTTCTAATGATGACATCTTTGTGTGTCTCTGCTCCTTGACAAGAGTGATCCTGTGTGTATCCCAAGCTCACAGGATGTTCTCCAGACCTTACATGTTCTTATCACATACCTTGTCAGATCTATTCATCCATTCATTCGCTCCAAAATGTTAAGCCTTCACTATATACCCACACACTGGGAATACTGTAAACATGGGACGGATATTCTAGCAAAGGAGGCAGAACTAAACTCATAAATTGTATGATTTCAGGAGGTAGGAGAGAGTAAAAGGAGAATAAATGGTGACGGAAGGAAACTTGACTTGGGGTGAACACACAATACAATATGCAGATGATATATTAGAGAATTATACACCTGAAATCTGTATAATTTTATTAAGCAATGTCACACCAATAAATTCATAATAAATAAATAAATAAATAAACAATTCTGAGTGCCAAACCAGTGTGGTTCAGTGCTTGAGCATCGACCTAGGAACCAAGAGATCACAGTTCGATTCCTGCTCAGGGCACATGCCCAGGTTTCAAGCTTCATCCCCAGTAGGAGGCATGAAGGAAGCAGCCGATCAATGACATTTCTCTCTCATTGATGTTTCTATCTCTCTATCCCTCTCCCTCTCTCTAAAAATCAATCAATAAATATATATTTTTTAAGTTAAAAATATAAATAAATAAATTGTGTGATTTCAGAATATGAGGATAAACAGCAAAATAACTATGAGAAGGGAAGGTTATTTTAGATAGGGTGATTGAGAGCCAGCAGGAGCATTTAACAGAATCCTAAATGACATGAAGGAGCAACTGATGCGGAAATCTAGAGAAGAGATATTCCAGGCAGGGGGAAGAGCTGGTGCAAAAGTTCAGAGGTAGGGCCCGACCAGCATGGCTCAATGGTTGAGCATTGATCTATGAACCAGGAGGTCACCGTTTGATTCCAGGTCAGGTTGTGGACTCAATTCCCAGTGTGGGTGTGCAGGAAGCAACCAATCAAAGATTTCTCTCATCATTGATGTCTCTCTCTCTCTCTCTCTCTCTCTCTCTCTCTCTCTCTCTCTTTCTCCCTTCCTCTCTGAAACCAATAAAGATATTAAAAAAGAAAAGAAAAAGATACAATGACTTAAAGATACGATCCCTGGGAGGCAGGTGGGCCTAAGGCAGGCATAAACTCTGCAAAAAGTTCAGAGGTGGGAAGTTGCCTGGTATGCTTCAGGACACAATGAAATGCAATGAAATCCAATGTGACAAGAGTAAGTAAGTGGGAGAAGAGACCAGGGAGATAGCAGGGGCCAGATTCTGAATGTGATGAGAATCCACTGCAGAGTTATGAGGAGAGAAGAGTGACTTATTCCTCCTCACACTACCAAAGTCAAATTTTTAAATCACCTCTCCACCTACACCAGGCACTCCAGGAAGATGGGGTAGCCACAGCAGAGCACCTACAGGGCAATGGTGCCATAATAAAGAAGTCCTAAAAATAGGTGGTAGTGATAAAAGGGACTGTGTATCTGGTCTATGCTGTATTTGTCAGCGGAGGAAATTGAGACTCAGAAAATTCACAGAAGCAGTAGCCAATTGCTAAATAAAATGATACAATTTAGACCTGCTGCTGTTACATACAAGATTTGAGTTTTAAATCACCTCTCCACCTACACCAGGCACTCCAGGAAGTAATGGTAAATAAAAGTAATGGAAATGTTAGGACAAGGGTCGTTGGTAAAGTGGAAAGGAAAATTCATTGCATTTTCCATTTCCAGAATAAGTGTTTTCCAAGCTATTTTCAGGCAGAGTGTTTCTCTGTCTCTCTCAATTGTCTCTCATTTACCATTCGGCTGTTTTGCAGGATGAACCGCAACAATCCCAAGAGGCTGGTGCACATTATAGATGACAATGGAATGTTGCCCTCCATGCCACTTGTTGGCTTGAGTGACCTGCTCAGTTGCTCGGTCAGTCCAGTACACGGAATCTTCAAAGACGGTCAGGGCATAGGGATGCCGCAGAATCTGCGAGGCAGAAGAGAACAATGAGATCTCCCCCAGAAATAAAAACCAAGAGAAACAAAGTAGAAAAGGATGCTAAATAGATGGTTTCCTTTAGCATGTAACCTATAGTAATAAAAGCGTAATATGCAAATCAACCAAACAGCAGAACGACCGTCCAGACGACCACGCTAAGACACGCACTGGCACCAGGCCAGCCAAGGCGCGTGCGATGTGATTCGTCGGGGGCCCACCATTGCCCCACGATTGCCCTGCAGAGGGAGGCCCAGGCCACCCTTTGAGGGGTGGTCGATCAGGGGCTTTGGGGAACCAGGGAACCAGAAGCAGAAGCAGGCAGTGCCAGGACAAAGTGGGTGTAGGCAGGGGGCAGGGCCAAAAGGCAGCCAGGGCCACGGCCACGAGGGCCCCAGCAACCGGGGCTGCAAATGCCTACCCTTGCATGAATTTTGTGCATCGGGCCTCTAGTTATTTAATAAAAACACAGGGAAGTCACTGTTCAAGAGACAGACCAAAATTATACTGCTTGACCTATCTCCCATTATACCACTCATAATCCTTTCTCATGCATGTGTCATTTAGTCCTCATTTTTACTCTGGTAATTACACTGGGCACCCATTTACAAACGAAAGCAAAACTGAAGCACAGAAAGTGAAGTGCCAGGTCTGGGGTCCCCACCACCCCATTATCATCTCTCCTTCTCCAGTGCAGTTCCCACTGTCTTGTTCTGCCACTCACAGGTGTACATAAATCTGATACAGCTTAGATGCATATTTTCTGAAGGTGGAGAGGCCCTCCCGGGTCTCTTCAAGTCACAAGACTGTAAATAATGACAATCTTAAATAGAAGTCATTAATAGTTCTTTGGGAAAAAAAATACATTTTCTGTATTTTACCATAACTTGTGAGAATAAAATCCACAGAATTTCCTAAATAAAAATACAAAGCACATAACAGGCTATGATTAATTGAGAATGTAAATATAATTAAATTGTTACTATTTGTTTAACACTTTTTAAAGGTACAGAAGCAACAGATTAGCACCTACAAATCAACTAAATTACACGAGCAATCTGACCATGAACTAAAATAAAAATACGTATTTTCAGTTAGTAAAAAAAAAAAAAAAAAAAAGATGGATTGGCCCTTATTCCTGTTAATATTCCCTGGATTGAGCATGCAATGTCTGTAACACAAAAATTAAGTTCTTCATATTCTTGTTATTCTGTCTGCTTTCCACTCAAGTCACTATTATAGTTTCCGGGTTTTTTCCTCACTACCAACTTACCAAATCACTGGCTATCACCTGCCTCCGATGTTGTCCATCATAGTCACAAAAATCTAAGTAATCAAGATAGGCATCCAAGAAGTAGAGCAGTCTGTTGGGGTAGTCAATAGTTAAGCCATTGGGCCATAAAATCTTGTCTTGGACAATAACAGTGCGTGAACTGCCGTCCATGCTGGCTCGCTCAATACGAGGGTGATGGCCCCAGTCAGACCAGAACATCAGATGTTCACTGTGAAAAGAAACTAGTTACCAATAGGACAGAACATATTTCAACACAGAAAAATAACTGTCCTCTCAAGTAAAGGGCATCATATACACCCTCTACTTAAAATAACTCATTTCCAGTTCAGAATATATGCACAGAGCTTACTCTTTCCTCTGAGCATTGCAAAGGAAAACTAAATATGATGCAACCATAAGTCACCTAGGTGTTTTCTATAATGTTCATAAAACATGCAGTACATTATAACTCTGAAATGTCTCAATGTCAATTCATGTTTCTGTACAATCCAAAAATATTGGATCTAGAAAAATCCATCTGTCCTTGACTTTCTACCCTGTCATGTTTAAGAGGGTCAATTTATTTCTCATCAGAGATTCATCATAAATTTCACTGGAGTTGAATCTCTGCAATATCTAGAAGTCTGTATCACACTGAACATAATTTGCCCAACTCGTCACCCTGCAGACAAGAATCTAAGAGAATCTAAGCAAATTCAAGAGAGGAGGCCTGCAGAGGTTTCTAAGCATGTGGGAGAATATCTTTTTCTTCCCTTTAGGAACAACAGGAAAAAATTTTCTCCCTTGTATTACATTAAAGGGAACTCTAGGAAATAGCATGAAACCAAAGCAGAAAAATCTGGCTTTTATTATTTTTTTTTTTAATGAAACCATGAGGTATCAAAGTTATAGCAAGCTGGCCCATCTACGGCATATTACTGTATACATTCATTAGAAATTTAATTATATAATTCTACAACAATCATGTCAACAATTGTATTGCCAAGCTAATAAATCAATGCAATCTGAAAGTGAACAATCAATTGCCCTTGTGTACTTTATGGCAAACACTATTAAAGATAAAGAAATGATAGCAACAACCAGTTGGATGCCTACCACTTCTATAGAGAAGTTTAAACAACAGGTCATTTTAAATTGTATAATATGCATATCAGTGACATCATCCTCCTATTATTATTCCTTCATGATAATCATGTCAGGGCAAGATCATTGGGAAAAAAAAGTCTTACCTAAGTCTGGGATCTAATGCTAGTCCCCTCGGCATTGTTACATTTTCACTAATCAGCACAGTCCTGTGGCTACCATCCAGTTTAGAGACTTCAATTGTTTGCAGAGCATAGTTTGTCCAGTAAAGATTGCGACCCACCCAATCTACCACAAGGCTTTCAGTCATGGTGGTGCCACTGTCAAGTACCTAAAGACAAAATTGAATAAAGAGTGAATTCTAAAGGGAATGGGTGATAACATGAAAATCTGGAATACGGCATCTAAGTTGCTTGTGAGCATTATAAAATTTTGTCATCCCTTATAGATAACTACTAATCAACACTACATTTTTATAGGAAAAACATACAAGATTTTGTAGAATTGATTGGACTAGTGTGTAGTTTCATTTTGGTTTCAAAGTGTTTCCAATTAACAAAAGCTCTATCCATTCTCTAAACTGGCAATCCTATGAAAATTTATAATGCCAAGGTACCAAAAGTAACATCTTGATTAAGTGCTAATGATTATAAAATAAAGTTCTGAGGGGCAGAGGAAGCATATCTATCAAAGGTCAAGAAACAAACTGGGAGATAGACTGAACAACATAATTAAATTAAAACTATGAAAAGCAACCTCTTAACTCCCCTGGCGCTTCCTTCTGCTCTCATACACGAGAAAAAAAATTGCAAAGGGAACCTCATAGATTTTGTGAAGTCTCTACATCACGTGACCTGGAATTCAAAATAATGGATCTGCCTTCAGAGACCACTTCCTTATCTAAAACATGCATAGATTTGGAGTTGTGAATGTCCAGGCCTCTTGGGTACAATACCACCCAAAGGCAAATATGAGAGCTACCTAGTACACAGTAGGATCTTCTCTCACTGGAGAGTAATAGCAAAGAGAACCACGACAGTGGAATTAGGCCAAAGGTCAGTAGAAATGTACTTACTAGTTTTCTGTCTGTTCCATTTTGAAATGCACTCCAGATTTTGCCCTGAGTTCCATCAGACCAAAAGACACGACCACTGACAGAATCAAAATCAACAGCTACAATGTGAGAACCACCCTCGATAAGTGCATAGATATTGTGGACCTGGGAGGTGATATTGTCAGCAATAATTTGGTTCTGACTTGCCACAAGTAACAGAAGACTTTCAGATGCTGTCGAAGAAGAAAATGCAAAAATGTCACTGATTCTGGAAGAAAACAAAGCTAAAGCATCTCAAATATTTGATGAAATGCTTTTGGTAACAGAGGAAGATGTAATTCCAAACTATAGTAATGGCGAAAAACAAAAATCTCTATAAAAATTTTTTTAATCATTCCATGCCTTGCCTAAATACTTAGCTGATTTTCATGAGTATTTAAAATAAGCTTTTTCTGATATATTTTTCTTCCTTTAATTATATTGTCTAAATATCAATATGGAGTAAACTATACTTGCATTCTTCCTATTTCTAGTTACTTTTATACTTTGCTTATCTTCTTTCCTAAATTATAGGCTTCTTGAAAGCAGGAATCATGTCAAATAATTTTTCCAAAGGCATTCAGCTGTGTCAGAGGCGTCTAATTATCTCACAATATCCCCTCTACTTTGTTTTAGCCCTCCTTTATTTGGTCATTTAAAGCAGCTGAATTAATATCCTAATATATAGTGTAATCACTTTCACATAATAGAAATTGAACTAATATTGGGCAAATTGAATGCATTATGCTCATTATATAAAGATATTTAAATAATGTAAAAAACATTTTGATATTATTCTAAATAATTTTAAAAAGCATCTTCTACTGTATATGTTTTGACCTCCATTTTCCAAAGTACAAGATCCATCATTTGACTCCTAATCAACATTTCCAAATATCTATATAACACATTTGATCTTAAGCTTTGGGGTATGTTGTTAACTAGAGTTAGTTCACTTTCAAGTTCAGTCATTACCTGTAACTTTGCAAGTCTTCCCATCAGTGTCTAACATGTATTCTTTATCACACCAGCACCGGAAAGAACCTCTTGTATTATAACAATGCTGGCTACAAAAGCCTGGATTATCACATTCATCTATGTCTTCACAGGTCTTAGAATCATTAGCAAGCAGGTATCCCAATGGACATAGACATTGAGCCCCAAAGGGCCCTTGAACACACTGGTGAGTACAACCAGCATTTAAATTTGAGCAGCTCTCCTGGTCTAGAATAAAGAAAGAGAATAAGAAAGGGGAAAAGTGAGGAATCTTTGCTTCTTTGGTTCACCCTACTGCAAATATTTGTCATATAGTCTAAGGCTATCTTCAGCATAATACCTAGGTAAGAGCTGAGAGCAGCACTCACTTGCATGAACTCCACAGGCTAGTCAGTGTCTGCTCTGATAGACCTAAGGATTTACTATTCTTCACATCCATTGGACTTGGACCATTTTCTTCGCTACACCCCTCTATTATAATTCCATTTAGTCCAATGTGAGAAACTTGAGGAAATATTGGTGACATCAAGAAACACAACCATCATTGATCAAGCATGCAAATACACCTAACTTACTTCTCATTTGCTTTCTGTTATTCTTCTACCCATATAGAAATAGAAGATAAGACTGACATTATGAGCAAGGGCTGGAAGGTTTATGGAAGTGAATAAATGGAAGGGGAAAGGCAGTTGGAACACTAGAGAGCACAGGTCCACAAACATCATTCTTTAGTTTCAGGGCCAAAACAGCAATGCCTGAAGCCACCCAAACATAGCTCACATGCCTGGAAATGCAAATGCCCTCTATTTCCATGTAACTTATTACAAGAGTGATGGTACAAAACATGCACTAGAAGGGGAAGTAAGTCAAATTGATTAGAACATTTTCAGCACAAACACAACACATATAAAATCATAAAAAGAAAAAATACTTTGCAATCGTACCTGGCTGAGGTTCATCTGAGAGTGAGCATTGATTAAAGAGGGAAGAAAGAAAGGACAGTAATTAGGATTACATGCCAATCACAGAATTCTAATCACAGCAAACACAAATCCCTGGACTTCATTTGTTTTGTGACAAGTTCTGATTGAAATTAGAAAATATTAAAGTTAGAAACTTTTGAGTCCATTACCAATAGAACCAAATTTAATTAGAGAATCTAATGGCCTCAGTTAGACTTATTTTTTTAATGATTACATAAAAAGAAGTACAAACACAGAACCAAATGCAGAGGATTTAATGAGAAATATTATCCAGTGATGATTTATTTGAATCATGATGCTTATCCCTACACAGATTTGAACTCAGAGAGGAACTGAAATCCCTTCCTCAAAAGCTACATGGTGATTATGACAATGGTGATGCACAGCAGGCTGCCGGTCAGAATGAACTGATGGCCAGTAAACTGTGGTCAGGGAACTTACTGCAAAGTGGGGATTCATCTGTCCCATTGGGGCAGTCAGGGACGCCATCACATACTGCAGTCAGATTCACGCAGATGCTATGGCCAGGGCACTGCCATTGCCAATTGGGACAGTGAAAGGCTTGAGTAGGGCAGTCCTTCTCGTCACTCATATCCCTGCAGTCATTGTCCCCATCACAGACCCACTCTTTGTGGATGCAGTTTCCATTGGCACAAAGAAAATGGGATGGAGAGCAGGTCTTGAGCACACAGCCATTGTGCTCATCAGATCCATGGATGCAGTCTGGATGCCCATCACACTCCCAGATCCCTGGAATGCAGAGACCATCTGATTGGCACTGAAATTCATCTTGGTGGCACATACCGGGAGGCCTGGTTGCTAAAAGAAAAGCATGGGGAAGATAGGCTTGTGAATGCAATTAATAACTCCTTTTATATAATCCCTATAGGAAATGGTTTTGGATCAATGATAGGTTTATAATAACGACTAAAATAAATATTAAAATGTAAAAATGATACACAGCGTACCCTCCAACATTGTGGTAAATAGAAACCTTTATGTGTCTGGTTCGTTGATCTGACAACAAAGAACATGATGCACAGCTCTCGAATAGAAGATAAATTCCCTCAGTCAAAAGAACATTCTATTTCCTGCATTTCTTATGTTCATTCAATTACAGAATAAATCATAAAATACAACTGTCTCTTTATTAAAGAATCACCAGAGCATTTCAATTGTACTTAATTAGCTATGGTTACTTGGAATTTCATGTGTTCAATAATACATTTGGATGTCATAATTATTCCTCAAATAAGCTGTATCCGATTAAACCAGCACACATTAAGCAAAAGGTGACAGCCCTTAATTCTTTGCAAAGTTTCCACAGTTCATCAAGTAATTCTTGAGAGATAAGAACTGTCTCCCTATTTCACAGGGGTAAGCCCTCCTACCCACAAACCCCCAGGAACCTAGAAGGGCAACAGCAAGTCATTAGTACCTGGAACTGTAACCTCAGATGATCACAGAAGTCTATGTTTCAATGTGACATAGGAAAATCAGTGACTAAGAATGTCTGGGTGGGGTGCACACCTATAAAGCATGTAACCATTTTATTTAACTTTTCTTTTTATCCATAGATTTAAGCACTTCTTTTCTGATTGAGTAGAACTGACAGAAACCTACTTTTTATGGTCCAAAATACCATTATTCAAAAAAATACCATTATTCAAAAAAATACCATTATTCAAAAAAATGACTACTTCACTGACAATTTTTGTACAAGTTTAAAATCCATGTAACACAAAAAGTAGGCAATTGCAAACACTGTACATTATAGGTTTCCAGCCTTTGTAGACTGTAGGTCTGTCAATTTATATTCCACTAAGTTTTCTTTGAACCCTCTGAGCAGAAGGAATTTCTATTCTCTGAGCCTTCATAGAATTTTATCTGTATCATTTCTAAGGCCCTTCTAACTAACCACCTTGCTTTATTATCTCTTACTTTCTATAATTACTCTGACTAGACTTTACAGACAAATACTTAACATATATATCTTAGCAGATATTCAACCAAAAAACACTGAAAGAATAAATTCATTAGAGTCAATATCTAATTCTGCTCCATATCACATCCATACCATGATTTGACTCTACATTGAAATTTAAAAGAAACCATTAAAACAGCTTTTTATATGCTAAGTCTCAAAAATCTGAGACACACTAATTTGGGATAACCTAGAAAAACTTAGTAGTAAAAACAAAAATATCTAAGAAATAGTTAAACTACCTAAGAAACTATGTGAAAGTTCCCATTTATACAACTAATTCACAAATCATAAATCATTACTTGGTAATGTGTTGGCAACTTCATTATTTGTTTCATACTGCATTCCTTCGAAAATACTTTATAATTCAGACTGTCTTCCCTCTGGTTTGTCTGAGCTAGAGAAAATCTGTGGTAATATCAGTGCTGTTAGAATGAAGTGATTCCTCTTGTGCACTGCTGGTGGGAATGCAGACTGGTGCAGCCACTATGGAAGACAGTATGGAGTTTCCTCAAAAAACTGAAAACGGAACTCCCATTTGACCCTGTGATCCCACTTCTAGGAATATATCCCAAGAAACCAGAACCACCAATCAGAAAGGAGATATGCACCCCTATGTTCATAGCAGCACAATT